AGTGGATAATAGTCAGTGGACTGTACGAGGCTTGGTAGCCTCTCGGTGACATCTCTGATGCGAGCCCCTGATAAGCAGCACACCTCTCTAGAGAGTGCTTCCAATCGGCAAATGGGTGCCTCCATACCTCTCAGAAGAGAGTCGCCTACTACTATCACCCCTCGCCTTTTCTTAGTGGTGCTGGTTGTTATACGGGGGACAGTATGCTCAGTGAGGGAGGGACTTGCTGGTTCAGATTATCCAGCCACATTACAATTCTAGTAAGAGGGACAAGGACCCATCTACAAAAACTATGCATAACTATTGGAGGAAAGGAAGATGTTGATCTCCAAAGTATGGAGGTTATTTGTATAGGAGCTAAGCATTTACTTATTCCAAGCATCTTGGTATTGATAACTTATCACACTTTCTACAGTACCTTCTATGGTGCTATCTACAAATCTTCCTTGACCACCAGCACATTGGTCCTCTATTTCTAATGCTGGTTGGAGTCTTCATCTGCACCAGCAAACAGCTTGGTATTGGGATATCTACAAGCATCAGTAAAGGCTAAATCTACTCTGTGATCTTGAAAAACAAGAAAAAGGGGAAAATGCCTGTTTTCCTTATAGAACATTATCCTTAGATAACCATTAATTACTGTTGTTATTATTATCTTTAATACTCATCAGACTGCCTGAAATGCATCATAGTTATCAATGGATCACCATAAAAACCCTGTGAAGTAAGTGCTGTCAACCCACTAATGACTAATGTGTGTTGGGAATGCCTTGTGGTAAAGTACAAACAATCTAGGAAATTGCACCCACCAGTGATTGAGGTGGGAGGAGAAGGTTGTTATTTCACACTGTGAGGTTAGAATCGACCTCTGGAGACCTGTATGACTGACTGAGGAGCTTAGGTTCCCAGCTCAGACATATGAGTTGTAACTCTAAGCTTGTATCCAATGTAATCCCCTTCAAGAAATGAAAACTTGCAAAAGGAGTCACCTAAAGCAGAAAATGCCAGAAGTGAGGTTGGCCATGTGACTTGTTAATACTGGAACCTTTTGTATGTTTATGATGATACCTATTTTCTCCCTGTCTTGCTCACTTTTCTTGTAGGAAGAATAGAATATTGTGTCACTCTTTAGCAGTAAAGCTTTGTGTATAGAAAGGCTATTGTGTAGAAACCATAAAATTATGGAGCAGGAAAGGAGGTGCAGAGTGATTAAGGTGAAAAGCCTCAACCTCTGTTTTTAGATGCCACACTTGAGCTGCTGGGACTTGTTTCTTTCTGAATACTTGATACTTCAGAGTGTTCAGTTTGCCGTCCACACAAACAACGACAATGAGTTGCTGCTTATAAGTTGTATCTGGGTCTATTTGGAGTCCAATTCTCAAATATAACAGAGATTCAAGATAGGCACCCCATAATGGGGAGCCCAGACTGAGCAACTGGTTCTGAGGAGTTTGATCTGTCCAATATTACTTAGAAATTCTGAGAGAGGAAAGGGTGGAATCCAGTTTTCAATGGTACAAGTGAAACGTCCGGATCATGGGTTGTTTCTCAACATTTCACAAGCCTGTCTCTCATTCAGTGTTCCACCTGTGTCTTCTGCAACAGATGAGGCAGCAGTTTGAAATACTCAGTCCAGATCCATGTCTAGGGACAGATTTGTTTCATGCATGGTTTACTGGGGTCTTAAAGATTTCAAGCCTGTGATGATGTTGTTTGTCATTTTCTGTGCAGAACACATAGGGAAATTAAGATTGCTGGAGGAATGTAGCTAGTTACTGCATGGCACAGTGTGTCATAGCTGGCACACAGTGTGTCATAGCTAGCACTCGCACTCACGCATGCACGTGCATGCTCTCTCTCCCCCGCCTCCCCACCCCCGCCTTTAAGAAACAGGAATGGTTTATTTGTGACCATTTATAGTGATTTTCAGCAAATTTCCTTTATGCATTAAAAAGTAAAATGCCCTGGAAGAAAGGAATTCATACAGATGCATCTTAAATCTGTATTATGATAATTTTCTCTCAAGGAGTTCCCAAATTTGAGGGGATGTGTTATTTTGTGTTAAGATTTTTCTCACAAATATGATGATTCAAGATGCACTGTAGGTGTAAATAAGTAGTATGAAGTCATGCTGGTTATAAAAATATGTGTTTTTCACTGTAGGTGAGTACTCAGGATCTACCTTTCATATGTCATCATCAGCTGAAAAAGAAGACATCAAGGATGCTATTGAAAACTTTGGGGTGCGGGTATGTAAAACCAAATATTTTGAATTAGAGTCTGAATTGGTAAATTGTATTATACGCTAAAGTAAAGAAAACTTACCGGTCAGTGAATAACGCTGAAGGGAGAGTCCTGTAGATGAAGGTTGTATTATAGTCTGAAGTAAAGTTGGATACAATCTTCTTATGGTAGGGTAAAATCCTTGTCCTTATGTTGGATACTTGCTGTTATACTGGTTTGTTTCCAGCTGGTTTGCTTAAATTTTGGCCAGTGTTTTTCCTTTTGTGCAGTGCTGAGAAACAGTGCAGTCAAATACATTTTTTTTCCCTATGCAAAACGCACATTCAAATGAAGAGGAAGATTTGCCTATAATCTGCTGATCTGTTTGATTAAACACACCTGGTCTTCCCCTTTGTAAAAGAAAGGTCAAACAAAAAAACTTGAAATTTGGTGACCTTCCTGATGCTTTCCCTGCCTCTGCAAAATATACCCTTGTTTGGCCATGTTAATAGGTGTTTGAAAAGGGTTTTTTTCAGAGAGCATTGCAGAGGGGAATAAGGCAGGCATCGTGTTTGTGTTGGGCACACAGGACAGGGCTGGATAGAGGGATCTGGAGTCTTCTGTAACATCTCAAGGGACAGTGGAGCAAATTATTTCCACCCCACACCCAGGCACCGTGAAAGAGGGACATGCTTAATTTTAACAGGCAGAGCACAGAACTTAAGCCTATTGGAAGGTGGTAGTAGTTGGGCAATGAACTTGGGAATGGAGAAGCTGAGACAGGTGGTGGCTGGCTGAGGCGCTGAAAGGAGGAATTTTTGCAGAGGGAGAAAAGGGCCTGGCTAGCAAGAAAAGAGAGCGAGGAGTTGGATGGTCTTAGCCCATTGGCACACCAAGGCTGCAGGCCCTATTTAGAAGGGACCACGAGCTAAGGAGGCATGTGGGGAGGGAGCGTGTTGGGAGGAGTTTGACACATGACAGGAGCAGTCAGAACTGTTGAGGAACAGAGCATGGGGGTCAGGGATGTGAGGAGACTGGGTGGGGTTGAGGCGTGGTATGGTTTTCATACAAGTTTGGGTTCCTGATTTTTGGGATAAGGGCAGGAATGGACAGGTTTCCCTAACAAATGCTTTTCTTTGGAGCTTGGAATGGAATTTAATATTTCTGAGTCTTGGGTGAAGAAATAGTCCTAACTAACTTAGCCAATTCTCCTTGTGGTGGACAGTAAAAGCTTGTCATGTTCGTTCGCATTGTATTAGCTCAGCTGGCAGGGGACTGTAAATGCCAGACAGTAGAGAATGATGGAGGAAGGAGAGTGGGGAAACGTAGGCAGTTGTAATGAAAAATGGTATTAAAGCAATAAAACTTGAAAAAATAAATTGCTTTGTGACAAATGCCACCAGTTACAGAAAGCAGGCAGGCTAAAAGGTAAAAGCAACTGTAGTGTCCAGACAAATCTAATCCAATTGTCCCTCGAGTAAGTCCTTCTATTTTTAAGAAAATAATGCTTCAGTGAAGCTTTAATTTGGTATCCCTTGATTTTTATTATAAACAATTGCTTTCAAAATGTCTTATTTTTATTATTTCTGTTATATGATAGGATGAGTTTGCAACAGAAATTACCTAGATTAACTGTAACTTCCTTTTTCTTGGTAATCTTTCTGTCTGTACCTGTTTACTTAAGGATAAATATTGTTTAGAAACCATCAACTTGATAGAAAAAACAGCACATGAAAATCAGACTGACAAAGCAGAAATTTCACATCAGGAAGCCCTAGCAGAAAATGAGGAATTGCACAGTGCTGACAAGCAGTTAAGTCCAAAACCTTGGGAAGAAAGATATGAAAGAATGTGGGTTGAAAATGAGAAAAGGGAATTGAAAACAAATTTTAAAAACATTACAGCAGAGCTGAAGCAGCTGTTTGGTGAAATTAATGAAACTGGGAAAACTACTTCCCTTGTGGAAGAAATGTCAGAAGATGGCTTCAGTGAAGAATTGAAGAGTTCTCGTGTTGTTTCATCTCATGCGACAGAATCAAGTAATAAGTTAGAAAGTAAAGGTAAACTTGGAGATATTAAACTTATGCTGGATGGAAAAGAACCCAAAATGGAAATTGTAATTCCTAGTCTTGGTGTCCTTCCTGATCAAAATAACTTAAATGCAAACGTGGAAGATACTTGGAGTACAGATGAAGAAGATAGCACAAACGATACAGATAATACAAAGGTGCCTCTAGCAAAACGAGAGGAAAAGAAAATGCTTACTATGGAAATGGAAGAGAATGAAAATGGAATTAGTAGAAATGTAGAGGGAAGTCCTGAATACTCCCTGAGACATAGCTTAAAAACAAGTATTTTGGATGATGTTTCTAATATTTTTCCTAAAATAAGACCTGTTTCTATGACTGATGAAAATGCACTTTTTGTAACAGAAAGGAAACTTGGAAAAGACTCTGGATTTAATGATGATGTTTCCAGGGACTGCCTTATGGACAACAATAAAATAGGAGAAACAGAAATTGACAGTCTTTTTGCAAATGCTCAGCAATCGTGTGGCATGCTGAAAAGGAATCTTGATGAAGAACTAAAACAAGATACTGAAAGATTTAAGAGTAAGGTAGGAATGCTGCAAATAGTATTCCTGGCTTTGGAGAAGGAGAAGGTACAGCTGCAAAAAGAGGTAGAAGTTCACCTGCTACTCCTTATTCTTTAGTCTTTCTCCATATCAATGGTCCTGTTCACTTTAGCTATTCGTCATTAAGGGAAGATGCTTTGTGCAAATTGGTTTTTGTTTTAATGGAAATATATTACTCATGAATAAAGAGAGCAGTGGAGAGTTGTTTTTTTCCCCATTATGTAATTAGAAGGGTTTTGGAAAACACAGAATGCATTATTGTTCCAGTTTACCAATAGGTGGCACTCAGTTCCAGTGTAAGTAGTTATCACTTCATTGCCATAAAAAGAAATGCACACAATTACATCAGTTCTGATTCTGAATCAAAGAATGAAAATAGCTTCTGAACAGGGTCTTGACTAATCTATTCATTTGCTGTGATTTCTGCATGGTGTGTCTTCATTGCCCATCACTAAAATTCTTGTTTGCTGTGAAACCATTTCTGCTAGTGGGTTTGGGATCTCTTCCCCGCCCCATCCCCCCATTAAGGAAGCAGTAGCCCAGAACACTTCCAGTTGATTTTTTTCTGTGTTTTTACAACTAACATTGTGCAGTCCTTCTAACTCTTTGTCCATCAGTAACACTTTCACTTTTTTGTTCATGTTTTAAGATACACTTGTTTTCTTTCTGAGGGCTATGTTTTTGTCATATCTTTAATCATGAGTGAATTCAAAGTACTTTCAATGACTTGATACGCTTTGTAGTGTAATTTTGTGAAAATGCTTCTCTATATAAATTATTTTTTTTTTTTTTTTAATTTCACATTATTTTAGAGGTAAACCCTGAATTATTCAGTCTTGGACATGGTGTTTCTCTCTTCTAGAAATACTGAGAAATGTATGAAGATTAACTTTCTTTTTATAGGTTGAGAAGGAAAAAAGCAAACAAAGATGTTTCAAAACGCAGGTGGTGGCAAAACAAGAAGATCTTGATAAATTAAATACACTGGCAGACAATGTTACTAATCAGCAAATGAAACAACAGATTACTCTAAGGAAGAATGACTCTTTGAAAATGGAGAATGAAAACACCATAGAAGAAAAAGACAAAAAGAATTTTTCATCTGAGGAGAGATCAAAATTGATTAAAATGCCGATGAAAGGGTAAACTAAGGAAATAATATCTAATTATTTGTACAAATTATTATTTGTTGTACTACTTAAGTATCTTTTAAGTTTTCTAATATTGCAGTAGTTCAAGCGGTTTCCTCAATGCTGAAAGCCATACTGAGTAGTCCACTGCTTCTCAAACATTTAAGAAAAAAAAAAATTTAGAAAAAACTAAGCTCATAATGGAGGTTCAAATTTATTGCCTGCTTTTAAAAAAAAAAAAAGAAAAAAAAAGAGAAATCAAAATTCCTGTGGGTTTCCTCGTCAATACTGAGGCAAAACATGTCTTCAAAACCAGAGTTGAGGACTGGGAAAAAACAGTTATTTTTGTAGGAAATGGCCATCTGGAAAAGAAAAGTAAGAACTTGCGGTTTATTCCGCTTTCTCCCTTTTCTAGGTGATTTTAGTGATCTCCATGCAGTTGGTGTTTTCTTTTTCATTAAGTTCAGATGCTCTTTGTCAGGAAAAGGGAAAAGATGGTATTACCAACCAATCTCAAAAGGTTGAAGAAGGCACAGATATTTTTATGTAACCTTAAGCAGGAGGTTTTTTCCTATCTGTCCTTCAAAGGAATCTCTGTTCTAGATACTTCCTCTAATGGGGATATTAGAAATGTTCCAGCTTACCTGAATCTAGCTCAGATTCCACGTTTCCCCCTCGTTCCTAGGGGACGGGTTTTTAAAATACTTGAGTATCTTCCATGATCTTTGGAGTCAAGTCTGTGTTTTATCATAGATATTTTTCATCTCAGTTGTTTCTGGACATCATCTTAAGTATGTCTGTTTTGCAGAAATATTTCATGTAAAGCTACTCAATTGGTGTTTTTTTTTTTTTCTTTCTGTTTAATGTAGTAAATTTGCCCTGAATGCCAAAGTTGCAAAGAAAAATAAAAGACAGACTTCAAAGCAGAAGGCTAATCAGCAGATGAGCTCTTCCAGTGGGAATCATTTTCAAGTACTGGATGATAGCACTTTCAGTGAAACATCTCAAGATGAAAGAAGGTACTGAATATAAGGAATGTTATAAATAAAACTTACTTAATGATAAAAATTGACCTGAAAGCTTAAGGTAAGTTTTGAAAACCAGATGTGTACAATGATTCTTGTTCTTTCATCTGACAACACTACCTGATGGCCTTTGTGTTCAAAAACACTTCCTTTTTGCTTAGAGTGCTTTGAACATACCAGCCAAGTTAATGATAAGGTCAGATGTGCACAAATTCTGAATTACCTGAGTGTGTGCATGTGCGTAAATATGTATGGTTTATATTTTTAAAAAGGGAGGAGAGAGACTTATAAAAGAGCAAAATTACTCTTTCACTGCAGACATCTCAGGTTTCTTCTGCCTTTTTTTTTTTCTCCTCCCCCGAGCTGTGTCCCCTCCCAACTTCTTGCTCACCCTGAACTTACTTGTGTGGGAGGCAAAGTGAGAAACAAAAGGTGTTGACACTGTACAAGCACTGTTCAGCAATAGCTAAAACATTGGTCTGTTATCAACACTGTTTTGGTTAGAAATCTAACACACAGCACTGTGTGGGCTGCTATGAAGAAAATTAACTCCATCCCAGCCAGACCCAGTACACTAGAGAATCCAAAATTATGGTTCTTTGACCTGTAAGAGAAGGATTCCCAATACTGAAGAGAGCTAAACCTCTAGTATTAAACAGGGAATGCACATAACTGTATATCTACATATCTGTAAGATTCCTGTCGTTTTGAGTGAAGTGCAGAGAACAGTTATTTCAACTATTTGCTTAATATCTTTTGGAAAAAATAGCCTTCCAATAGACATAATAGTACACAATTATGTTTTTTTCAGTCTTGAACTACATCTAACAAAATTCTTACATTAATTTTTAGTTTAATTCACTTCTGAAATTGTTTCCAGAGCAACTTTAGATATTGTTCATAATGCAATATAATCATTCCAGTACTGAAATATATTTCTGTTTTCCAGATGTGCAGCAAAAACAGGGAGTGAAAAGAACAAGGTACTGTAAAATTAGTTTCTTGATAAATAGTTCGTATCAGCTTTTAATCACTTAGATGGGAACAGTGTTTATGTAGTGATCATCCAGATGCACAAATTGCTGCTAGTATGCAACTTTATCATATTTGAGCCAAATTTATAGGCTATGAATGAGAAAATGAATTATTCATGGATTTGTAATGATCTGTAATACTATATAGTTGTATACAGAAAATACTGTATTGTTCGCAGGTCAGCATACAAATGGATGTAACTGATGATCTTGATTTAACTCACTCATCTGACACAACTTCAGAGGATGTTGAATTACCAACTTCAACCTACAAAGAGGCTATGTTGCTGTTAGAACAGCTTAGTGTGGATCATACAGGTATGTTTTCAAGTCACTGTCTTCAGCTGTTACAAGTTCCTCTTTTAAAACATGATTTCTTTATGTGCACTCCTAGGTATTTTAGTTTTATATTTTGATCTAATATTTCTTTATGATTAGAGATCCACCTCAAAATATGTGAAATTATCTCACCTAACCTTAGATGTCTGCCTGTATTGTCAGCAAACATGCCTTACTTTATCATTGGTTCTCCGTCTAGTCAGAGCTGGAGAAGCAGGTTCTTGCAAAGTACGGTTCAGCTCCTTCTAATGCAGTCATCAAAAGTTAGCAAGGTCGTCTTTTTCCTCTTTATATCCCCCCAATAGCTAATGACAAATAGTGCAGCAAAATAACGTCTTTGCTTAAATTTTTTTTTTTATATATATATTCAACTCTCATAAGGTGCTTGCATATATACACATAGCATTATATAAACGTAAGTGTCACTTACTCTGTCTATTAAACTATGCTAAAATTCCATTAGGCAAGGGTTAACCTTGACTAAAGGCCAAACTCCCACCCAGCTGCTCTCTTACTGCCCCTCCTTAACAGGACAAAATAGGATGAAAAACTCAAGGATCAATATAAAGGCAGGGCTATCACTTACCAGTTACTGTCACAGGCAAAACAGACTCCACTTCAGGAAACTTAACTTAATTTGTCCTATTAAAATAGATTTGGATAGTGAGGAAAAAAAGACAAAAAAAATTAAAAAAATACCTCCCCACCATCCCCTTCTCAAGCTCAACTTCGCTCCTTCACTCCCAACTCCCCTACCCCTCCCCAGGCAGCGCAGGGAGCCCGGGGTCTGCAGTCAGGACATAGGAGTTTCTCTCTGCCGCTCCTTCTTCCTCACACTTTTCCCCTGCTCCAGTGTGAGTCCTTCCATGGGCTACAGTCCTTCAGGAAAAACCTGCTCCAGCCTGGGCTCTCCATGGGCCGCAGGTCCTTCAGGAAATATCCACCTGCTCTGGCATGGGGTCCTTCAGAGCACTGCATTGTGGATATCTGCTCCAGGATGGACCTCTCCAGGGGCTGCAGGGAAATACCTGTTCCACCATGGTGTCTCCATGGGCTGCAGGGGAATCTCTGCTCTGGCACCTGGAACACCTCCCCCCTCCCTCTTCACTGACCTCGGTGTTCACAGGGCTGTTTTTCACATTCTTTTCCCCTTCTCTGCCTGTGTGGCGTTTTTGCCCTTTCCTAAATACGTTTTCCCTGAGGTGCCACCAGCGTGGCTGAGAGGTTCAGCTGTGCTTTGCAGTGGGTCTGTTGGAACTGGCTGTATCCGGCACGGGGCAACCCCTGGCCTCTTCTCAGAGAGACCTCCCCACTACCTGCACCCAATACAGCAAAGCATTAAATAATTTATACATTGGAAAGTATTTGTGCATATGTGTAGCTTTGTGTCTTTTCTATCTCAAAATAGGTTCTGCTATTTTGTTGAAAATTCAAAACATACTTCTTGAATATGAACAGATAATAGAACGTGAAAAAAATCGGTATACAGCTGTTTGGAGAGAAGTAAAGAAATTGGAAAGTGAAAAGGAGGAGTCACAATTAGTAGCAGAAAAGACTCAAGATTTGAAATCCATATTGGCTCACCAAGAAGTGGAATGGAAAAGTGATATCCAAAGCCTTAAGTATGTAACCTTGCGTTCTGATAATGTGTTATCCTGTCAGTGTTCATGTTCCAGAAGATGCTGATGGTACAGGTGATAGGATGAGAAGTTTCTAGTCTTTTGGGTTTGGGTTTTTTGAATCCCATGGGCAAGTTATGTTATAAAGGACATAATGTCAGGGGGGGAAAAATGCCTGGATATTAGCTCCATGTGAAATCTTCTGGATGTTGTTTTAACTTTTTTTTAATAGCAAGAGAAGAGAACAAGAGAGTACGTGTGGGAAAACGAGATTTATAAGAGAGAGATTTATGGGATAGGTTTTTTTTTTTTTTTGTCTTTGCAGCTTCTGTTGGTGTATAATGCTAGAATTCTGGGAACTGCACAGAATGCAACTCAGAACAGAGCTTAGAACATTTGTTTGTTTGCTTATTTGTTTATTTGAAAGGTCAAATTTGGGATTTCCCCTTTCCCCATACTCCTGAGCTAGACCTGGATGGTGTCAGGTTTTTAAAGACTGTTCACATCACTTCAGACAGGAGTGGCCAGTAGGCACCATATGAAATTCAGCAAGGACAAATGCAAAGCCCTGCACTTGGGAAGGAAGTTCCCCTTGTGATGATGTACCATGGGATGGCCTGGCTGGGGAGCTTGCTGAGAAGGCCCTGGCAGTCTTGGTAGAGCAAGCTCAACATGAGCCAGCATGAGCTGGCCGCTGAGAAGGCCAACAGCATTTTGGGCTGTATTAAGAGCAGCAGAGCCAGGAGATTGAGGGGAGTGATTGTCTGCCCCTACTCAGCACTTGCTGAACTGTGTCTAGAGCACTGGGCCCAATTTTTGGCCTCCCAGTACCAGAGAGATCTTAATCAATATGCGTGAGTTCAGCAGAGAGATACCAAGCTGGTCGGGGAGCAGGAGCACCAGCCCTGTGAGGAGAGGCTGAGGGAACTGAGCTTCGAGGAGTTGTGCCTCTCAGTATGTAGAAGAGGATTATGAGGAAGACAAAGCCAGTCCCAACTTGGCCTGGATTTCACTACAACCGTTTTTCAAAATTCTCAAATATCTATCGATTACAAAGAATTAAATTTTTGTTCTAAATAAATTCTTGAAGCAATGTTAACTTTACACTCATAAAAGCTATACTTTTTGTGAAATTACACTAAAAATTGTATGTAAAGCTTTTTCCTTGCAATATAAACCATTCAAATACAAATGTTACTGTCAATCTTTCAAACAATTTATTAGTGGTTGCTGATACTTGTTTTGCAGAATTTCTAAAGCAGATTTTCAATTGGCAGCTCTTTCCTTATGTTAATATTTGATTCTTTTTCTTGTTGACCGTTGCAAGGATATCAGAAAAAATATTCAAAATAATTATCAAACATAAAACTGTTTCTTGTTTGGGCACCGTGGACACACCATGGACCACTTTTTACCATGTTGGTGCTTATTGCTGATTGTTTCAGATAGTAAAGTTGTTGACGTTCCCTAAGGCTTTCATTAGAAATTAGCTTCAAAATTAAATTGCTATTGTTTCTCCCAGGTGTAGATCCATTGAGGTTTAAAACTATTTTTAATCGTATTAAGCTTGAACCCTATGCATTTCTAAACCTGTTTTTGAACACTGTCCTCATTCTTGAGTAAACAGAAACTGCTTGCTCTTCCTATGGTCAGCAGTTGTTTTAGACTTACAGAAGGCTTGCTAAAAAATTGTTGGGTCTGTCAGATAGGTGGTGTGCTGCTTCATCAGTATTACTTGCAATCACTGAATCCGTAGTATGTAGGCAATGCTTAGCATATTAAGAAAATATATATTAATCATGGTAAAAGTTTATGATCCTTTGATCTGATAAGACAACAAACTCAACAACATTGAATGAAATGTATGTGATATGAACATGATTTTTTTTTTTAAGAATTACAGAAATATGCATACTACTGTATATTTACCTATCTAAACTTACTTACAAATAAATGATAAATCACTCAACGGTTTATTTCCGTATCTTGTACAACTGATACCATGTCTGTTGGTGTATAATGCTAGAATTCTGGGAACTGCACAGAATGCAACTCAGAACAGAGCTTAGAACATTTGTTTGTTTGCTTATTTGTTTATTTGAAAGGTCAAATTTGGGATTTCCCCTTTCCCCATACTCCTGAGCTAGACCTGGATGGTGTCAGGTTTTTAAAGACTGTTCACATCACTTCAGACAGGAGTGGCCAGTAGGCACCATATGAAATTCAGCAAGGACAAATGCAAAGCCCTGCACTTGGGAAGGAAGTTCCCCTTGTGATGATGTACCATGGGATGGCCTGGCTGGGGAGCTTGCTGAGAAGGCCCTGGCAGTCTTGGTAGAGCAAGCTCAACATGAGCCAGCATGAGCTGGCCGCTGAGAAGGCCAACAGCATTTTGGGCTGTATTAAGAGCAGCAGAGCCAGGAGATTGAGGGGAGTGATTGTCTGCCCCTACTCAGCACTTGCTGAACTGTGTCTAGAGCACTGGGCCCAATTTTTGGCCTCCCAGTACCAGAGAGATCTTAATCAATATGCGTGAGTTCAGCAGAGAGATACCAAGCTGGTCGGGGAGCAGGAGCACCAGCCCTGTGAGGAGAGGCTGAGGGAACTGAGCTTCGAGGAGTTGTGCCTCTCAGTATGTAGAAGAGGATTATGAGGAAGACAAAGCCAGTCCCAACTTGGCCTGGATTTCACTACAACCGTTTTTCAAAATTCTCAAATATCTATCGATTACAAAGAATTAAATTTTTGTTCTAAATAAATTCTTGAAGCAATGTTAACTTTACACTCATAAAAGCTATACTTTTTGTGAAATTACACTAAAAATTGTATGTAAAGCTTTTTCCTTGCAATATAAACCATTCAAATACAAATGTTACTGTCAATCTTTCAAACAATTTATTAGTGGTTGCTGATACTTGTTTTGCAGAATTTCTAAAGCAGATTTTCAATTGGCAGCTCTTTCCTTATGTTAATATTTGATTCTTTTTCTTGTTGACCGTTGCAAGGATATCAGAAAAAATATTCAAAATAATTATCAAACATAAAACTGTTTCTTGTTTGGGCACCGTGGACACACCATGGACCACTTTTTACCATGTTGGTGCTTATTGCTGATTGTTTCAGATAGTAAAGTTGTTGACGTTCCCTAAGGCTTTCATTAGAAATTAGCTTCAAAATTAAATTGCTATTGTTTCTCCCAGGTGTAGATCCATTGAGGTTTAAAACTATTTTTAATCGTATTAAGCTTGAACCCTATGCATTTCTAAACCTGTTTTTGAACACTGTCCTCATTCTTGAGTAAACAGAAACTGCTTGCTCTTCCTATGGTCAGCAGTTGTTTTAGACTTACAGAAGGCTTGCTAAAAAATTGTTGGGTCTGTCAGATAGGTGGTGTGCTGCTTCATCAGTATTACTTGCAATCACTGAATCCGTAGTATGTAGGCAATGCTTAGCATATTAAGAAAATATATATTAATCATGGTAAAAGTTTATGATCCTTTGATCTGATAAGACAACAAACTCAACAACATTGAATGAAATGTATGTGATATGAACATGATTTTTTTTTTTAAGAATTACAGAAATATGCATACTACTGTATATTTACCTATCTAAACTTACTTACAAATAAATGATAAATCACTCAACGGTTTATTTCCGTATCTTGTACAACTGATACCATGGATAATGGAATTAAGTTAGAATTCTTTGAAAAGTTAAAAATTACAGTAAAAATATGAAATCTGAAAAGATTGGTATTATAATACCAATTGGTAGAATCTGAATAATACCTGAATATAATACCTATTGGTATTATCTGAAAAGATTTCATATTTTTGATTTACGTTGTCTCTGCAAGTTCAGAATGTGGAATATCTACTTTTTATATCAGTGCTTTAGTTTCTCAAATATTCTGTTAAATCCCAGATTTACTTTGAAACAAGAAGAGGAAAAGAGGCTCAGAGTAGAAACGCTATATGAGAAAACAAGAGAAAAACTCAGAAGGAAAGAAGATCAATATTGTAAAGAGATGGAGGAGAAACAGCAACTTGAGTTACACTCAAGGAATTTAGAAATGGAGTTAATAACACTGAGAAACCTCTTGAAACAGGTATATTAAACAATGAGTTAAACACTTGTTGTCTTAGTTGTTGCTTCCTTTTAATTGGCACTGTAGTCCAGCATGCCTAAAGAAGGAGGTACTTTGTTCATGGAAGAGGCATTGGATAACTATTGCCAAATTTTGAGGACAGTTGAGAACAGTTGGTTCACAAGTGGACTGTTGGGGTTTTTTTCTTTCTTTCTCTGCAAGTTCATGATTCCTTTTCTCCTTTTTCAAAATTTAGGTTTCATTTGTATTTCAGGCAAAGCCTGACTTTGAGTTATTTTTCTAAATTACTAGGAAAACATTGTGTATTCTTAATTTTTCAGAAGAAAATTAAAATTTACTATTTATAGATGGACTACCATAACTGTGGGGAAGCAAAAATATTTGAAAGAATACAAAGGAGAATGGGAAGATAATGTGAGCTCTGATTTTTCTCAAGATGCAAATAGTTTAATCGTATTACTGTAGGTTGAAGAAGAGCGTGATGAAACACAGAGACAGCTCTCTCAGGAGAAGAGTGCCAGAGCCCTGCAAGAAGGAATTTTGAACAACCACCTTTGGAGACAGAAGGAACTAGAAGAAGAGACAAGAAGAACTACTGGAAAAAATTCAGAGGTAAGCAGATTTTTTCTAATTAATTAAATTTCACCATGTTCATTGTAAAGTCGTAATAAATCTTACATAATTTTTTTCTGCTTCTTGATGGATTATTTACAGTCTACCAATGTAACTTAACTGTGTAAATACCTTTTCTGTTTTCCCTTATGTCTTTAAAAGTTCTGGAAAGCAGCATCAGTCCTGTATATACCTGAATTGCATGTGCAAGTAGGAAGCTAACAGAAGACATTATATACCCCATTTCTTAACCTATCTGTTATATTTCATTTCATAGATATTTTATCATCACTTTTTAAGGTTTCTAGCAATGAAACACCTAGCTACCTATGTCAAGGTTGACCAGGAAGAAAGTTGTTTGACGCTCGCTCTTTGTGTTCCCATTACTTGTTTTTTTTAATGACTTATTCCCTTATCAAACTTACTTACTTCAAGTATGCCTTTCCTTTCCACCTCCAAATACTAAAATTTTATGAAGGAATATCAGCAATGAATTAAACTCTCTGTAGGAGTTAGAATAATTGGAGGAGAAAAAGCAATCATAAACACTGTATTAAAAAAAAAAAAAAACTTGAAAAGAGTTTACTGAATTTACTAAGAATGTGCAGTGCTTGGAAGAATTATTTGTTCTTGGCTGTGCTGCCCAGTAAATGTAGGGTGAATATTTTATGTGGAAAAAGTTATATATATTATAAACAGGAAATAACAAGACTATTTCATTCCAGGGCTGATTGACTTGTATAGCTAACTTTCAGTAATACAAAAGATAAGTGTTAAGACGACATTTGACAACTGATACAAGATAAAAGGTAGCATTTATATTTTTTGCAATTTTGCTAAATATCCCAGAAGGAAAATACCCTTTTTAGCCTTATTTTTACCAGATTTGTAACACAGCTAAATTAACCTTAAAGGGAATATTTTAAAGGCATACACATACAAGAAAACACTATCGTTTTAAAAGCTTTATACTTTTGAGATATTTTAAATAATTTTATTATTTGGTTGCTGTTCAAGGAAAAAAAAAAGGCTGGGATGTTCATTTAGGTTTTAAGGGTATGTTACACTTCCAGTGTGTGCATACATTGTACATGTGCGTGGGTTCATAGTGTAGCTTATGTATTACCTGAAACTTCACTCTCATCTTTGAAGTCATTCTTCGGTATTAGAAATGTTAAAACGCAGTTTGATGCAGAAGTGGTTTTGTAGATCCATTTCCCAACTGGCTATTTATTCATGTTCCCTGTCATTCAGGAATCCGACACTGAGAGAGAAAAGGATCTGTTGTTCAGAAATCAGTTACTACAAGATGAGATTGCTATGCTAAGACTAGAACTTGATCAAATAAGACTTAGGCACCAGGAGGAAGAAGGAAAATATTTAGCGGAAAATGAGACCTTGAAAGAAAAAAATGAAGATCTCAAAAAGGAACTTAAACTGAACGAGGAAGCCTTAACACAGACAGTTTTTCAGTACAACGGACAGCTGAACTTATTAAAGACAGAATCTGCGGTGCTAACTTCCAAACTTGAGCAGACAAAAGAAAGCAAAGACAGACTAGAGACAGAAATTGAATCATTTCGTTCCCGTCTGAACACTACTGTGCAAGAACTTGAACGTCATCAGTCATCAAAAAGTGATGTTGAACGAACATTTCAGAGAGAACGTGATGAATGGCTTCGCTTGCAAGACAAGCTCCATCATGACCTCTCTGATGTGCGAGAAACCAACAAGAGTTTGTCTCAGCAGCTGAGTAAAGCTGAAAGCAAAGCTAATAGTCTAGAAAATGAGCTTCACCAGTTGAAACAAATGCTCAGAGAAAAAACATTGCTTTTAGAAATGACACAAAAAGAATTAAGTCAAGCCCAGTGTCAGGCAAAGGAATGTGATCATGCTCGACAACTTGAGAAAGATCAAGTAAGCAAATTTATAATAAAGCAGGAATCTATGCAGGAGCGATTGGCCCAGCTCCAGAGTGAAAATCTTTTACTCCGTCAGCAACTGGAAGATATGCAAAACAAGGGCATCATCAAAGAAAAAGTAGTGAATGATGTGCAGGACCGGTTTAATGATATTTTCAACAAACTCAGAGCTGATACTGAAAAGCAAGTTTACCTGGTGGAAGAGAGAAACAAGGAATTAAATGCCAAGTGTGCTGATTTAAGAGAACAAGTCTTTAAATATGAGACTGACAAAGTAGAAAGAGAGGTAAAGTATACACTTAGAAAGAACAATTTAAAGTTTGTCAGTTCTTGAAATTATTTTATGTTTCTAAAATGTACCAGGTATAAGTTATACGCATGGGACTAAATAATGCTGATTTGTTCAGATTTGTCGTGTTTCTCTTGGAATTGTGGAAGGTTTTGGCAAACAGGTGTTACTGCTCAGATCTGGGCAGAGAACAGAAAAAAGGTATCCGAGTCTAAGCTTTGATCAAGAAAGGTGATTCTTCTGCAGAACTTTTTTCCTCTTTTCTTTGTCCATTTTATGCCCTGTAGAATGGTTTTATGTATTTGATGGGTTTTATATATGTATTGCACTGATGACGCAAATAAGAGTGGTATAAAAGGAAGAACCATCCAATATGCAAGGGCTGAGAAATGAAGATGGAGACAAGTGAAGTGATGGGGGATGAATTTATATTAAGCTCCTACAGAGGAAAAAAAAACGCTTCTCCATACGTTGCTATCAAAACTGAAGAGTATTAGTAGTGTCCAGGTGTTAATTTATGGATGTGTTTTGGGGGTTCTAAGGGGCCTGCCTGTTCCTTGAGAAATTCATTTCAGACCTAAGCTTTCTTTTCTCTATTTTATGATGTGTAGCCATACCTACATGTGTTCTTTCTTTCTTTCTTTGTGGCTTTCTGAAAGACTATCAACTGGACAGAAAACTAATTAGGAAATCAGTTAAACTATCTTTCTGCAGATTGACACAGTACATGAGTATGAAACATGCTCCTATGCAGAGCACTAGCATAATTTTATGTCACCCAAACATGCATGAACCAAGTGTTGCTGCCATTTCTGCATGTAGATGTTTTTTGTCAAGAAAAAGGATGGAAGAAAATAAAGGCGGGGGTAGGAGTGAGGAATAGGTAGACAGTTGAAAAAGCTATAGGTAATGGGAGAATGCATTATTATATATGTTCCTGGGAGTAGGTAGGGTCTGTTCTATTGGTAGAGTATTCTACCAATTCCAGGTAGAGCAATGATTTAAAAGTTGCCTTACTCATTTTGTTTAATCTTTCTTTACTTTCTAGAAAATAGGAACTAATCACGTTCAGTATTTAGACACTCTGGTGTAAGGTTTGTCTCCCTTAATGATTTAACTAGTGATTTGCAATTACATTTCCTTCTTCATAACAAACCCAGAATCTTTGAGTGAGGTAAATATGTGTCAGAGAACCACCTTATTCTTAATTTGTCAGTTACTTTAAGGTGGGAGGTGGGGGGGTGGGAAGAACTCCAGCAGTGCTGTCAATCATTTTAATCTGTGAATTGCTTTGTATTCTTACTACCAAAATAACAGGTTCCTTTTGAAGATACTAGAGACATATATGAACTATCCAGATTTTTGTAAACCTAATCTGTCAGTATAAAGGCAGTTGTTATTCTAAAATGAACTTGATAAGAAGTCTGCAAGAGGATGTGATTCAACATACACTTAAAGTGTATCTCAAAAGAGCTTACAGATATATGTATTCATTTAATTATATTATATAATGGAGGAATAGAACAAAGAACCATCTAATACAAAGTCCTGTCTTTGGTCATCAGAGTAATACCTGCAGTCAAACTGTAGCTCTTACATTGCAACAGTTTTCTTTGGGTTTTGTTAGAAAAAAACACACGATTGCAGTGTGTGCTTGTGTATAGTTCTGAGAAGAACAATACTTGAGCCTTTTTTATGTATTAGGAAACAGAAATCCTCATGAACAGCTGCTGGTAGTTTGGAGGTGCTCAGCTGAGAAAGATGAAGAGAGGTCATAATCTGTGCAGATGCCTGCTGGTGGCAGGCAAAATTTCATACCTTTGAGTTCAATCCGAAGACAGGTCTAATTGTATAATCAAATAAGTTAAAGTAAAGGCATATTTCATGTTATTACAATTTTCTTCATGCTCATTGAACTGTTTCATTAGGGCACGGTCAGACAGCTGCAGCAGGAGCTTGCTGATGCTCTTAAAAAGCAATCTATGTCAGAAGCTTCACTTGAAGTTACTACGCGCTACCGCAGCGACTTGGAGGAAGACAAATTGCACTTGCAAAAGGAGTTGGAAAAGGTTAAAACCAAGGTACGTAATGTCTGTAACTATATGAATAAATCTGTGAGTAGCTGTTGAAGTAGCTACAACTCTGAAAGTTGTCCTAAAACCTAGAAAAAACTTCTACAGGTTAGATTTAATAATGTGTAATGAATTACACTGTTTTATAAACTCCAGTGTCCATGATTGGAAGGTCTTTGACATGGGGACACTATGTCCTTACTTGGACAAAGGTTTGTATTTGCTAAGGTGCTTTGCAAAATAAACTGATGTGTCTGTAGCTTATTGCATTTGGCTTGGCCAAGCAGGTTGTCTGATTTCTGAAGAACAGTAGAAATAGTGGACCCCATTTCCCTCCCTTCCCCCAACACCAGGTAACATGTTGTCAATTCTGAATGCTTTTGTAACTTATTCTGCATTTATCTTCCTCCCTTCCTTTCCCTCCTTTAGCCCTGCTGTAATTTGCCATCCTTAAGCGGCCTTCTTGCAAGTGAATTGTAAGCTACTTTCCAAGGCAGGGACCACCTTTTGCAGTGTTCTTACAAAAACTGAAGTATAAGAGGCCTCGGAGTTCTGAAATAGAAATCACCTTAAATCTCCTTATGAGGGAGTTGTGAAGTCACTTTAGGAGAAGGATGAACTTCTTAATTCATATTTTCAATGGAGGAGCAAACAAGTGGACACAAATGAGTGTCGTGAGTCACTGAAAGGGTGGGAGGGGCAGTGTCGGTGCTCAGAACCGTGCTGTAGGAAACCAGTGTGGGGATGGGAGAGGCCAGTATAAAAGACGATGAAGTAACACAGTTTGCGTTCATTTGCTAGTAGAAGTGAAGGTTTGAATGTACTTGAAATGACTACAGTTCTTTGAGTAGAGCGTATGTGCAGATATATGCAGTACTTGAATTCTTCAGCAGCAGTTGACTCCTCTATATAAAAGCTCCCTGACTACTGTGGATTCTTACTGTGATTTTACAGTTGCGGGAGCTGGAAGAACAGCATCTTCAGTCTGAGCATTGTGTTCATGACTTGAAGGCTGCCTTGGATAATAAGGAAAGAGAAGTAATAGCTTCTTCTCAGAAGCTGCAGGACCTCCTGTTGGCATCTTCTGGGACTAATACTACTATAAAACAACTGGAAGAGCACGTGCAACGGTAAGAGAATAACACAGTGAAGCAAGGTGCCTGTCACTTTCTGGGATTGTGTGAAAACAACAGGATAGCCTTGTTGCATCACAGCAAGTTGTTAACACGATTTTGAAGGATGCTTTTGTTTTGGATTACGTTACTTCACGCTGTTCTTTCAGAATTGGTGCTCTGGTGGATTTCCGTAATAAGACCTGTATTTCTTTTTAAGCCTTGAAATTGAAAATGCCAGATTGGAAGCCACAGTCCAGCAACAAAGCAATAGGATTGAAGCCCTTCAGAGAGACCTGCAAGCCTCTGCCTCGGTAAGCTGATCAGAAACTTCCCTTTTTGTGAGCCCCTGAGCCTAGTTACCTCTTTCTGTGGGGAAATTTTAAGATGAGGTTTTCCTGAGCCTTGAAATTGAAAATGCCAGATTGGAAGCCACAGTCCAGCAACAAAGCAATAGGATTGAAGCCCTTCAGAGAGACCTGCAAGCCTCTGCCTCGGTAAGCTGATCAGAAACTTCCCTTTTTGTGAGCCCCTGAGCCTAGTTACCTCTTTCTGTGGGGAAATTTTAAGATGAGGTTTTCCTGGAGAGCCATGGGGAACTCAGTTCCTGCGTTCTACTGAGTAAGGGCTGCTCAGAAAGCAGCCTGGTCCATTGCCCAGCTTTCTGGTTTTGAGAGTTTTCCCATGCTACTATAGCAAGTCCTACTTAACGCAAGGTAAGGTGATAGCAAGTCCTACTTAACGCAAGGTAAGGTGATAGCAAGTCCTACTTAACGCAAGGTAAGGTGATAGCAAGTCCTACTTAACGCAAGGTAAGGTGATAGCAAGTCCTACTTAACGCAAGGTAAGGTGATAGCAAGTCCTACTTAACGCAAGGTAAGGTTTTGACACTAATACGCTGGTGTAACTATTGTCTGCTTTAGACCTGTCATGACATCAGAAGCTGCTTCAGACACTTGTTGCAATGTGTATCACCAAAGGTATTCATCAAGTTAACTTGTGGGAATTCCACAGGGGGTATTGATGCCAAGTGCTTCGTGCCACAGGCCCGACTGGCATCATCAGACTGGAACAAATATTATACTCCCCAGAGCTTCTGTTGTGCAGAAGAGCTTTTCCTTTGGCCACTTGCTGTGCATTTGTTTTCATGAAACAGAGAACGTGGTATCATTTGCAGAACTCGGTGCGAGCCTTGGAATTTCCCAGTGCCCCTACGCAGTGGTTAATTTTAGCTCAGATAAGGTGCTTTCATCTGTGGCCTGTAGGAAGCAAATTATTTTTGTCTTGTAACCAGTGAACCAGGGTTCTTGTTAGACTGTAGTTGTTAATTAGTGCTTAAGAGATTTTGAAAATAACTACATGTGAAAGTTGAACTTTGTGGTGTACTGATACTGACAAGAGAAGAGGGAGGGCAGTCATGATGCTGGTCCTTCCCCCTTGGTTAATAGGGCATGGTTTTCAAATGTACTGTGGATGAGAAAAGCTACTCCTGCCTGTTTTCCCTGAAGATTCTTTGTATCCGGCATGGTGTTCTCTCTCCCTGAAGCAAACGGCAGAGGCGATGATTGCTAACAGTTTTACAGTGGCATCAAACTAAGGCCATTTTGATCGTTGGTGCTGGGTGTAAATACTATAGGAATGAAGAGGTGGATGTAGTATTTGATAGGATGGATGTTGTGGGCGGGGGGGAGTTCTGTGGTTGAAAGCTGAGAGAGGAGACTGGGCTTGGGAGATCCGTGTTACCTTTGCAGCTTTGTCAGAGCTTGCCCTTGAGACCGTTAGCTTCTGTCGTAAGACCCAGCGTTTCACCTGCTCTGTAAGGACACTTGAGAAAGTTGTACACCCTGAGGACTTTTTATCTAACCCTTTGTGCTAAGGTTTCCGTGACTTTTTTTTTTTCCTTCTCCTTACAGAATGCCACTAAAAGCATCTACTCAACTTGCATTCTTTATACTTGAACTGAATCAGCAAGTTCTGTTCCACTCAAACGCATCTGTTAGGCAAATCTTGGTCCCTTTGGGTAGAAGCATAAATAGCGTTGCTGATTAGAAAACGTTTTCTTGCTCTCAGGAGATGTACAGCTTTTACAGAAGCAGTGGGAGTAGGGTATTTTCTGTGGTGGGCACTAGAGGAATTATTATATTATAAAGTATGTATCATCATGAACTCCAGAGGGCCTTTGGAGGAAAGTTGTAGCGTGATTTTGTGTGTGTGTGTGTCATCTCATCCCCCAACGTTGTAACCTCATCTTGTCACTTCTAGAGTGTTCATTCTTTCCACGAGCTTCAATTGCTGCTCTTGGTTATGTTTCCTGGCGTGTGTTTTACGCTCGGCATTAACCTTAACCGTAGGTCTTAGATGGGGAGAGGAGAGCTTAGGCCTGTTTCCATTTGAGTTACTGCTTTCTATTGCAGGAACGTTGTAACCTCATCTTGTCACTTCTAGAGTGTTCATTCTTTCCACGAGTTTCAATTGCTGCTCTTGGTTATGTTTCCTGGCGTGTGTTTTACACTCGGCATTAACCTTAACCGTAGGTCTTAGATGGGGAGAGGAGAGCTTAGGCCTGTTTCCATTTGAGTTACTGCTTTCTATTGCAGGGTTGTCTTCCCAGTCACCTTAGTTTTTTCTTTTGCCACCATTGCTTTCACAGATGCAAAAGCAGAATGTGCTGGCTCTGACATCAAAGGACTCGCACAGCATGTGGGAAGAGCAATTGAAGTCAAGATCCCACCTTGAAGAGCGTGTTGCTCAGCTTGACAGGGAAAAGGCTGAACTCTTGGAACAGGTGAGCCCAGAAAATTTTCAAGACACCTAGCCAATACCCAGGAGAACTGTGTTCACCTTTTTGTCAAGTTCTTACATACCCGGCTTTTTCTGTTATCGCTGCCATTCAGGCGCTGATTATCTTGTGATTTGGGGATCATCCAGGAAGTGAATAAAAGCTAGCTGGGTATCTTTGTGTAAATTCTGGAGTGGTTCCATTGGGAAGAGTTCCCAGTGTGGTTTGCTGTCAGTTGAGCACATGGAGCAAGGCTGCAGTTCCCCAGTTCTTTTCTTGGATTCATTCTGGTCATTTTCTGACCCTGTGGTTTCTGGGCAGGGTTGAAATGCTTCATGTTTCCAGTGCAATGTATGGAGGAGCTGCTGCATGTTTTCAGGCTAGTGGGAGCTTAAAAGCCTTGCAGAAAAACGTACTGAAGGAATTCTGGCCAAATGAACTAGTACTTGAGAAACAAGAAATGGCTGCCAGTTTCCAAGGGGAAGTCTCCCTTTTCTCCTTTTCAGTAGAGGAAAAATGGAAGTACAAAGTCAAAACAGCTGCCAGCTCTCCTCTGGTTTGGCTGAGAAAACACCAAGAGGAAGAACAATATGTGAATAAGTAAATACCCACAAAGAAGAGATCGAGGTAATGGTAGAGGGGAATAAAACATTGAAGAATTCCAAAAGATCAAATTCCTCCGTAGGCCCCTGCCTGCTGGTCGTTGAAGATCCCGTGAAAGCTTTAGATTGGCCTATGCTCTCCTGTGATGTGCAAACCTACGTAATCCCTGGTATGAGCAGAGGAACTGCTGAAAGTGTTCTCCAGCATCTTTTCCACCTTTTTGCCTTGAAGCAGTAGAAGAGGGTGGCCTTTGCTTCAGTGGGGGTGTCTGTTTCTGTTGTTAGGTATTAGCCTGTTTGATGTGAAACCTGAAGTGATTAAATGTTCTGAGGAATTCTGTCCCTTGGCGTTCTGAGGAACTTGGCTAACAGATAAAGGTGTACTGCAGCTTCTCTGTGGAGAAAGCTAGATGCACATACTACATGTAGATACTGTTGCTATGCTCTGTGTGTCATGTATCTTTTCTGTTTTGAAAGTGTGAGAGTGAAAGAAAGAAAGTGAAGAAGCTGGTAGAGTTGAAACGCCCAGTCGAACTGCGTCTGGACCAAGAAATGAAAAGAAACATCGAACTGCAGAAAGACTGTAAGAGGTATGGCTTTTTAGTATGGTGAAGAGGCATCCCTGAGTAGAAGTCAAGCTTTATTGAACTTTAACGTAAAAATAGGTGTACGTAACTGTTTGTGAGCAAATTCAAGCCCCATGTTCTTGCAAGGCGCTTCTATACACGTGCCTATAGTTTTCAATAGTTGCTGAAAGAACTGCAAATGCAGGTTGCCCTGTGGTTTTCCTGGGAGGGAGGGAGGGAGGGAAGTCTCATATTCCTCTTTTCAGGTGAAATTTGGATGCTCCAAGTGACTTGTGGCATGGGAATGCTGTTTCTTCTCAGTAATTCCTCATGTGTCAAGCACATTAAAGATGAAGCAAGCCATGTCTGTGCTCTTTATGTGAGAGTATGTAAGAAAGGCCGGTTGTTCCTTTGCTTCATTGTTTTCTTGACTAATTTGCTGTGTAGGTTGAAGAGGCTTCTGAACAGAACTATGAAGAAACTAAGGGTGTATGAGGAGAGAGTGAGAGAGTCCCAGCTTAATTTGCAGGGAGAAATGAAGAACAGGTATTCTGAAATGGTCAATGAAGGTGGTAGATTAAGAACAAAGGTGAGCTCTGGTTTGTTTGGGGTTTTTTTGGTGGTGGTGTTTTTTCTTTTCAAACCTGTGTTATTCTTTCCGTATACTTCTTTTCATGTTGTTGATTTTTTTTTTTCTTGGCTGTATCTTGGAATTGATTGACTTTTCTTGATGCTCCTTCTACTATTACAGTAGTAGATGAGTATAACTAATACTGATGTAGTTATCATTATGGGTAAAGGTGAAAATGTTATGTGCAAAGCAGTATCTGCAAGGCCACATCAAGGGTAAGCTGTCCTGTAGAGGAAGGGCGAGCTGAGAGTCACAGCAAGGCTGGCAGGGTCCGTGACCTCGCAGGCCAGGGAACAGTCCCACAGGCCCTCACCAGGAAGAGCAGAACAGGTCCGGTGACAGTAAGCAGGGTCAGCCAAGAGTGCAGATCGCCAGGCCAGTCCATAGGGATGGGCAGGTCTGCAGTCCAACCAGGACGTCACGTCCACGGGTGAGGGTCAGGGCTGAGAGCAGTGAGGCCCGGCACAGGCCTGGCTGCAGCTTGAGGCTGTGGCAGAGTCTTCTACGTCTCACAGATAAATTCTTCTCAGGAAGATTGGGGAATAACACTGCCATAACTCGAACAACTGTATGAAGTTGGCTTTGCCCAAGATCACCCCCTGAGCCCAGTCTTAGGCATGAGTTGAGCAGGAAGCAGTTCAGGTTTTGCTTTTCTAGACAGTGTCGTTGCTTCCCAGGGCATGATGCGGTAAGGTGATGCAGAAAAAGTTCTGTAACTTATTGCTCACCAGTAGCTGTCTCAGCCCATCTTTCCCTTGTCATGGGGACCCAGAAGTGGAGTTCCCAGAAGTGCTTTTGAGGTTGCTCTGGCTGTTCAGTAGCATGTAACCTTTTATCTACTTCTCTGCTCATTACTCAGATTTGTTGCTAAAGCAGCCATGTTTCAGAGCTACATTCATGTTTAGACGGTATTGTGGAATGAGTCAACTGCCTTTGCAGTGGCTCATTTTCAGTCCAAAAGTTAGTAGCATTTTTGTGTTTCTGTTGGAAGAGTTATTTTGAAAGACAGGAAAGGGCTTTACATTTAGTTGGTTTTAAATAAGTCTAAATTTTCTACTTTCTGTTAGAGACTCTTTCAAGTGTTTACTATGCTAGTTTCCTCCAATTTTCTTTTAATAAAAAGACAGGACATAATGTTTTATGCTCAATAGGTATAGAAAAGGTATGTTTTTGGCGGGGGGAAGAGGAGGACAGAGCTGTAGTTAACCATTAGGACCTATTGAAAGTCTGATATTTCCTGCAAATTTTTGAAAATAAACTGCAGCTTTGACCTAGGGAGAATACGTCTTCCTCCACCACTGCTGTAACAGCCATATTCTGAACCGCTATTTACAAATCTTTCAGTGTAATGGAAAAGTGTATCTGTTTCTTGTCTTGTCAGTGCTGTAACGAAGCTTCGACTGTGTTGACAGCATGTAAAAATTCCTCGAAAGCATGATACATGTTGTTTCTGATGAAACCAGAAGGTGGCTAGGTATGGATGTGTTTGATTTCCCATGAGCATCTCATGGAAGAATAGCCCTGGTGCTTTTCAACCTAGCCCTATGGGTGAAATGCTGCTAGTTTGGTACCTCTTGGTCTGTGACCTACTGCAGAAGAACTGAGAAAGGATGGGAACCTGAGGGATCCTACCAGAAACGATGTGAAAGCTGTTCTTGTTTTAAAACAAGAGCCTGGTTTCACTTTGGTTTTAAAACTGAGCCAGCAGATGACAAATACACTCTCGATGGCCAACTCCTTCATGGATTTTTACAGAATTGACTAATTTTAGATCCCTCTGAGTTCCTCTGGTTTTTTTTTTTCTGTCTACAGGTTAGTGAACTTTCCCAACAGCTGGAGATAGAGTCTAAAAAATGCATGCAGCTAGAAGCACAAAATCAGGATTTGCGAGAAGAGTTGTCTACCATGCGTGGGAACCATGAAAAACTGGAGAAGAGCAAATGCCAGCTGAAAGAAGAGGTGGCTAACCTCAAACATCGTTTGGAGACTAGCATGGTGGATCACAGCCAAATAGAACAATATAAAAGAGAGATGGAAGAACGAGCCGGACAAGAAATAAGACAAAAACTACAAGAAGTCAACCTATTTTTGCAGGTAAGTGAATTTCTCACTTGTGTCTGTAGTCTCTATTATATACTTTTGTTGTGGCCATCATTTTTTTAGTATTTTATTTTTGGTGCCTGATTCTGTGTGTTAGTGCTGTATTTCTGTCTTTCCTGAAGGGCAGTGGGAGAAGGGAATATGGTTGGGCAAGAGTGCTTTCATGTGTGTGTAATGTGCCTGCAGGTCCCTGAATCGAAAGCTTGCCCAAGGTAGATTTCCATTTTGCAGTTCTTGGTGGGGGTATCGCTGTCCACTGGTCTTGTTCTTGCTGCTCATCCTTGAACGGGTATTGCAACTTACAGTTGTCATGGCCAGACGTACAAGTCCTGCTTTGTCATTGTACAGGGGAAAGTGCTCAGAAAAGAAGTCGCTGAAGTTGGGGATGGGGGCATGGAGGTGAGGGATCCTCATAATTTCTTTGAGGAATCCGTTTCTATATGCCCTGTCCTACAGAGATAGCGTTCTTTTGTTAGTAGCTTTGATGAATAATAGTACTAAGAGGGGGGTTCTTTCTGAATGAAAAGAATTATTTAACGTGGTAGTTCCAGGGTTCTGCCTTGATTGCTCATGGTAGTGAGGAGGCACATTTTCCTCACTGAGTAAAGCTGGGCCCTTGAAATTGGGTACGTGCAATTGACTGGCAGAGAGAGTTCTGTTTTTTCTTTGCGGTGGTTGAAAGTGCATTGTCTGCTTCAGACGCAGGCAGCCTCCCAGGACAGATTAGAACAAATCAGAGCCAGTCATCATGCTTCACTGAGAAACCAGCTAAAACACAGAATTAGAGATCTCGAATGTGAATTGGACAGGATAAAAAATACCCAACAAGACAGTATTTTTCAAAAAGAATCCACGCAGGCAGAAGTGGAAAGGTACAAAGAGCTGTATCTGGAGGAAGTAAAAATTAGAAGATGCCTAGCAAATAAACTGGAAAGGTAAGTCCATACTTTTTTGGAGCGGTAGTAAGATACTACTTTTTCCTCATGCGTTTTCCTCCTAAAATCCCTCTTCTACATCTGGTCAGCATTATGTATGTAAACATAAGATGGCATATTTGTGAGGAAAGTACCGTAGACCCTTCCCCTTCATTAGAACTGCCTTCATTTCTCTTTAGTATTCCAGCAGTAACACCACATTAATAGCATATTTTTTAACTTGATTGTGTTTTAACAGGAAGCCTTTTTGCCAATCTCTAATAATCTCCTCCTCTTATTCTGTGTATGGCAGAAAAGATAAATTTCATGTCCTTTACTGCTTGAATAAGGATAGGCCCCTCAGAGAACAGAATTTGATTCTGTGAAGCAAAAAAAAATATATCTTTTTTGGCTTCCACTTCAGCAGTGTGCCTGAGGTTTGAGCTTTCCTTGCGAAAGGGAGGGTAGCCCAGAGTTCTTATGCAGGTGACGTACCTTTCAGAAGAAGCTATGTAAACACACGGCATTCACAGATTGCTTTGAAGCCCTAATGCTGAGAAGTCCAAAGTGTTGGTAACTCTTGCTGCTCCTTGCAGGTAGTGTGACTTCTAAGAAGTAGGTTCTCCAAAAAACCTCAGATCAAATTATGTTCTGGTTTTAGATGCTCTTAATCCCTTCCCCTTTCAGAAGTCGAATAATAGTCAAAGACCTGGAGGGTAACTTTACAGAAGTGTTACTACCAAAGATAATTCTTTGTATGCTTCTGAATGTTTCAGAGCTAATGAGAGACTAGCAGAAGCCAACGCTAAGCTCCTTCAGGAGCGCCATAGAAGCAAATCTTTAATCGCAAGCAGCATTGTCAGTGGGGGTCTGGCTGCAAGTCCAGTTCTGTATTCAACTGAACTGGGACATCTTGGCAACAATTTGGCACTGAACAGAAGTCTAAGTCTGGGAGGAAGCTTCCTAAGCCCAACGGGGAACGCATTATCATCAAGAAACAGAGTTGAAGCGTATGTGGCTAAGGTAAGCATTTTGAAATACTGTTCTCAGCTACTGCTAAAGAGTATCCGTAAGCAAGGTTATGCTTTTTAGCCTAAAGTTAGAATCTATTTATAGTTCCAAACCATATGGTCTAATAGGCCAAAACAACTGCTAATCATCAAAACAGTACACAACTATATGTGGTAGGGGTGAAGACTTTTGGTCATCAGGGTTGTACAAATTTCCAAGAGTGCTCAAAGACCAAAAACCGCTGATATCTAAATAATGAACTGTGTAACTACATTCTTTTACAAGAGAAACTGTGATAAAGAATACTGTGGCACAGGAAGTTCCCAGCTAAGCTCTTCATTAAATTTTAACGTGTCGTATGTATGACCTATTTAAAATGGCTAACTTTGAGTGCAAAATCCCATCAGACATCTTTGTTTGACACACCTTTTCCTTCTTCACTGATCTTCATTCTAGCAGTTTCTTTGCTGGAACTTGTTTTAGTACATGAATACCACAAAGGGATGCTTCAAAAATAGGATGATATGAATGGGATCACGTAACTTCTCACTCTATACTTCAGTGTGGGACGTATACTATGTGTAGAAGGCATTTGTTTTTGTAGTTCCTGGTATGTGTTATTACATGAAAAGGTAAAGTTAACTACCCCTCCGGAAGTCTTCACAGCTTTCTAATTTTGCAGCAATGCTGCAACCTCTGCAATACCTCGGTCAAAGTATGCCCTGTAATTAGCAGTCAGTGTGATAGTACATCCCTCACAGAATGGTGAACGTTATATCATGAGATTTGGAAACCAGATGTCAATAGTTGTAATCACTTTCCCACCTAGCATAGGATTGAGGCATGGACAAGCTTCTCTATTCAGTCAGTGTTCTATCCCTCACATATTCTGTTGTTGAATGAATGTGAGAAGTATTCGTTCATTTTTAAGTCCATCTCAGTTCAGTGGTCCCACCCACACTGGAAAGAACCCATTTAAACAATGTGTCTATATACTGCACCTGGTTTAAAAAAAAATAAAAATAAAAAATGGACAAAGCAGTGTAGGTAATGCGTAGCAGTGGCAGTTACAGAGATGAACTTTTCTGTATCAGTATGAACGTGTTTTTCAGGTCAGAGGGGTGGACATACATTACAGAAAGAACTCAGGAGGCAGTACTGTACCATCTGCAGGGCCGTTCTGCATGCCAGCAGTGGAAAGGAGGCAAAATTCAGGGACCCACTGCAAAAGTGAAATAAGGAGAAGGCCAGGACAAGGGAACAAGAGGGGTAGGGAGCAGGGAACAAGTGAGGAAAAGAAAGGACAGAAAGATGGGAGCAAGATGTTAAAAGAAGAAAAAGGCAAAGGAGGAAACCATCCCACTTCTAGGAAAAAAGCTGCCCTAGTTTAAAAGAAAAGGGTTAACAGTTGTGCCTTTTTTTTTTTTTTTAAGAAGAGGAAGAAAGGAAAAAAAGACAGTGAAGGGAAAGAAAGTGGGAGTACTCGGTGCTTCTTAACTGAATTACAGCAATATTCTTCAGGTAGTCCTTTCCACTTTAATTTTCCAGAAGAAATTGGAACTCTGGGCATCTCAAAGTTTTGTCAATATCAAGAGAGATACCTTTACTGGTTTACTAGCTTCCCTTAAGTATATTACAGAAATTAAATATTTTAAAAGGCTATTTCATAGCTGGTTGGTTTTATCCAGTTGCTAATATATGCAGATATATATTTCAAATAGTTACATAGGCTGCTTCAACGCTTTGTGAAAATCTGCTTGTGAAAAACATTTGAGCTGATTCCAAGAAAAGTGTGCGTTAGATCTGAGAATGGTGTTACTGTTCTCACTCAGTGTCCTGACTTCAACAGCAACCATAAAGTTTCTTTTCAGAGCATGTGTGTCTCGCATTTTGTGATGGATTGCCATGCTGGAGAATGCTTTTAGGTTTTGGTACTGTTTTTTGAGGCTTCACTTTGAAGGTTTAAAAAAGAGAATCATAAAAAACCCCATCAGCCTTGAGCAGACTCTCAAGGAAGTTGAACAATTATGTATGATGCTTCTCCAGTCTCCAGTTACTGATGTCAGGTGGGGTTTTCTGTTTGTTAGCTCAGGGGCTTTCTTATATACATAAATTTCTCCTTCCTAGTGCCCTCCTAGTGCAGTTTTGTTAGTAGGACTTAGTCCCCCAAAGTTCTCGCTGATCTTGTTTGCAACCTACAGAGACTTCTACTTTGTCGTCAACAGAGTTGCTGAGGATAATTGGCTCTTACTATACACAGTTTGTCTTCTCGGGATTAGCTTTTAATTCTAATATAGTATTAAATTCTAAAGTTTTCTTCCCTGAATGAAGGTGAGTAAAACTATTGCTAAAGCCTCAGAGAACTTACCCATTTCTTACCATTTCTGCCAGGTTCTCTTAAGAAAAAGATGGAAATCTCAGCATGCCTGTTTTCCCCCAGTCAAAGCAGAATGCTGGTCTCTGGGACTCAGAATTGCTGGTGTTAATTTATCCTTGCTGTTACTAAATCCAGCTGCATACCCTTTCATAATATTTCTTCCTGTAATCACCAGTTAGGGAACAACTGAGACTAATGTAATGGCACTGTCGGTAGCCTCAAGTCACTCAATGTTCAATGTATTCAGGAAAGTCTTAAGACCTGGTCTTCTCTTTCACAGTCCTTCAGAAAAAAGGAACAGGGTTCTCAGAGGTGCAGTACTTGCTAGAGGACATGCATCTAAGTGGGTATTTCACTTACAACTGCTGGCTTAGGTTTCCTCAACTGGGTGCAGTATGTCATTAACAGTGTTTGAAGCCATACCATATCTCTGAGGAATGGAAAGTACAGGATTCCTGACATGTGCGCCTAAAAACAGAGGATTGAATTGGAAAATAAGGCTTTAAGTCAGGAAGTAACAAAAGGGAAAAACTGCATGTATCCCTCTGCATACAGTAATAGGTGGTGAATCTCAATCAGTTTCCAAATGCAAAATTACCAGATGCGCAGTCTGTGCTGTCATTTCTGCGGGAGTCCTGTGTCATTCAGTAGACAAGTTGGAGCATGAGGAAAGAATTCAGAGATTACAGTTTTAGTCTATTTTGAAGTACTTTGCCAGTTGTGCTGCTTAGTACTCTGCCTGTTCACCACATTATTTAAAGACAGAAGAGTTAGTCTGACTCTAAGCCTTTTCTTCACGTCACTGTTTGCTTCAATTATGCTTCAGATTTTTTCCAGTAACCTGGTTCCCTTCTACAGAATTTGTCTTGCCTTTTAAATTCAAGCTGAGCAGTACCTTCTTGGCTGGAGATTACAAGTGCTCCTCCCACTAAAGCTCATAATGACAGGGAGTTAAGGAGCTTAAATTGCAGTGTGCCTCAGGTAGTCGTCTTGCACTTCTTTTTCTAGTCAAAGCTCTCTGTGCAGATTTGGTGTTTCTCGCTTCCTCAAGGTGAGAAAGGCTATTTGAAGTAGAGGACATGCCATTCTTAAGAGGAGGATGTTTATGTAAATTTGGTTTGGGCAAAGCTTTTAAATAGCTTCAGGGGTAAGGAGGTGAAAATACTTCACACTGCTATTATTCAAAATGCTGGTATTAATTCTTTGTCCATGCAACTGTTGGAAAAAACATTGGTAAATGGTACAGATTGCAAACAAGAGGAAGAAGTGCTCCTCTGGCAAGTGGACACAGTTACTTCTTTTAGACGTAACTAAGAAATTTGGAGTTTGAAGGCTTGAAAGATTTCACAGTTTTCCTAAACCACTACTTAACATGAGAGGCAAATGTCAGTGATTATGCATATAGCCTTACATTTTGAAGATGGTCATGTTGCAAGCCTAGCAAAAAATGAGCATTTTATTCTTTAAAAAACAAAAAGAAATGTGTTCCATTACAGTATAGCCCCTTTCCCCTTATCAAATATATATCCTACAGAAATTAGTAACCTTGAAATGGAAGTGCAAAAGTATCTTGAAAAATATAAAAAAGTTCATATTGACACAAGTAATGAACCAGTAAAATGCCAATCACATGCAAATGCCTTTGGCTTTTTTGGTTGTTTTTATTTTTATTAGAGCTCCAGTAATGAGGAATATATTACAAGTACTTGAAAAATTCTGTGCATGTAATTACAGTGACTGTAGCGACTAGCAGTTCATTATCTTCTGGAAGGAGGTTGGCTGAAATTTGTTTCCTAGTAGGACTTGTGTCATAAGAAGGATGTGCGTGTGTATTGCCTGTCCTTTACAGGAGTGAAGACATCTTTGACAGGGTCTTTTTGTCTTTTTATGATCTGGCCTACTGACTCCCAAACTGCTCATGAATTGGCATGTCACCATCCAGAACTAAATTGAATCAAGCAGATGAAACACAAATACGAGGTACTGCTAGTGGTCTGTGTACCATAATTTGGGAACCTCTGCCTTAGTCCATAGACTAAGGCAAGGAATGTGTGCTGCAAGGAGGTTTTGGGACTGGAATCCTGTTAAGTTTAACAAATGTCAAGCTTAAATCCTAACAGCTGTGCAAAAGGCTGGTGAAAATGAATGTGGGTGTCTTGACACAGAAAATAATAGTGAACTCTGCTAGCTGCAACCAGTGTGAATTAGTGGATTTATGAAACCAGTTTTCCTACATAACAGGAGAAAGGGAATGTCTGCTTCCTACTCTCTCTCTCAATTTCTGTTCCTTTTCTGATTTCGTTTTCCGTCTGCACTCATGTATTGTAGCAGTCTTTGTATTATTAGCTTTTTTTACTTGCTTCATTTACATGTAGGCCATGTTCTTATTTCTCACTGAAGACCTTTGAACTTAAGGCCGTTTTTCTTTCTTCTTCAGCTCCTTAATCAAAAATCTGTTCTTCTCTCTTCTCTGCAGCCAGATACATGACAAGGTTTGTAGCCAGTATTGTTTAATGTTGGGTGGTATTTTATACTGGAAATGTTTTGTCTGTTTATGCTGTTAGGTTTTGATTAAAACTTACTGATGCATTCACATTTTTCTAATAATGCAAAGATTTTGAACTTGTTAGTTTGTCCAAGTGAAAGAATGACTGCTGCAGAGTACTTTCATGCTTTATGTATTTGAAATGTTATGGCTGCTGTGGTAGTTAACCATCTGTAAGACAATGGGGTATGGATTTCATCTGTTACAATGGAACTTCTTTAAACTATAGGATTAGACTGGTTTACCTTCCTTGCCAGTTCCGATGTGCAAAAAGTTCTTGGTATTGACAGCGGTTGTGTCTGGAGTACCAATACTGTTCTGAAGTTGAGTTCCTAGACTCTGAGTATCAGCTCATGGAGTCTTACAGGATCAAACTTACTCTGTGCTCAAGCAACCCATGTGGGTAAGTAGTAAGTCAATACCGCTTTCTGAAAAAGAACTATTGAGAAGGTGACTGCTGCAAGGGAACCCAGTATGTTACTGCCTGAAGGGATGCGCAGTGAGATGAGAAGTACCTCAGCGTAGAACTTAGTGCAGAAGAGATAGCAATCACTGTTCTGCTTTTCAGTTCTGTGACTGTAGTCTGGCAGAAGCTTTTCTGGAACCTGAAATTGTCATCCTTACTGCTCAGGAGGTTTGGGATAGTCAGCTGTGATGCCTTTTCCAGGGGGCTGGGGGGAAGGAGAACAGTGGAGGCAAGTTAGTCCTAAAGTGTGTATATTGCCTGGCTCTTCATTCCCTCTTCAGAAACCGGTGTGTCAGTTTTATTTCCACCTATTCCTCTTTCCTCAGGCGTGGATGAGAATCACAAAGATGTTAATGGAATGAATAAGAGGAGAACAAGATCTTTTTCTTCTCTTGATTCATCCGCACGTGTTGTGGAGGGTCCTGTGGGCCTTCTGGTCATTGTGAAGGCTCCAGAAACCAGGGAAAGTGGTTTCTTCTAACACCTCAACTACTACTACTTTGTTCAGGATTCGTCCTGGTTTTGGGTCGTCTTTTGGTCTAGGCATTAGTTTTCCTGCTTTTTTCTGTTACCTATGTCTCATTCCATGTGTTAGGGGGTCCCTTCTCCCCAGGATTTTGCTGCTGCTTGTACCTGCTTGAAAATGATTAGAGGTTTGGGGATTTGAGGGGTCCTTTTCCCATGTTCTTTCAGCTCCGTGCTCTCCTCTTCTAGCTGTGAAGGCACAGACTATTCCAACGAAGTACCACTGAGCGGTTCTTCCCCTGGAGGAGCTGGTGAATTTGGTCGCAGCTATCCCTGTAGTCCTGGAGAGAGGGCACTTCCCTCCACTTTGGTGGTTTACGGCCCCACTTCTTTGGCCCTTGCAGTTACTGCCTGTTACTGCTCCTCTTGTGAGGGTTTGCAGAGTGCTTCCCTTACTGAGGCTTTTGCTCTCTATGGCCTATTGAGTACATCGTACAGTGTTTCAGTTCTCTTTGTTGATATGTTGCTAGGTGAGCCTGCTCATTTCATAAAATAAATACTTATTCCCTCAGGGATTCAGTACTAAAAATGGGTAAGGGTGGAAGGGGCCTCTGAAGATCATCTAGTCCAACCCCAGCCCTGCAGGGTCAGCCCTAGCAGGTTGCTCAGGGTTATGCCCAGCCAGGGTTATGGACACTCCACAACCTTTTCTGGGCAACTTCTTCCAGTGTTTGACCACACTTACAATTTAAAAAAAAAAAAAAAATTCCTTATGTTAAAATGAAATTTCCTCTATTTCGATCTGTGCCCATTCCTCTTGTTCTTTTACTTGGCACCACTGAGAAGAGCCTGGCTCCGTCTCCTTTACTGCCCCCACCAGGTATTTACACGCCTAGGTAAGGTCCCCCTGAGCTTTCTCTACTCCAGTAAAGAAACAGTCACAGCTTTCTGAGCCTCTCCACATAGCTCATGTGGTCCAAGCCCTTCAGCATCTTCGTGGCCGTCATAGGCCTGGAAGCTGTATGGTATCCATTTTGAAAATCACTTCTGTGTGTCAAAGACTTGACAGAAAAAATGTAGGAGTCACAAGTATCATCAAATGTAAACAACAGCATATAGCGCTTGGGCTATGACTCTTCAAGAGATCTGATTTCTTCTTATGAAGACTTTGAAGTCAGAATCATAAGTGAGAATAACTTAATTGGTAGCAATAACCACCTTCTAGGGGAGAAAGGAGTAAGTGCTCCTTTCTAGTGATCCAGGCTGATTTTGGTTACATAATAAAACCCACAGCACTTGCTGTGTAGAAGCTGTAGCTGTTGCTACCTTTTCTTAGTACAAAGTTTGCGAGAAAAAAATTGTGTGTGTTTATATTTTTATATATGTGTGTCATGGTATTTGCAATAACAATAAAGAAAAATCTTGGCATGAGCTATAGGAGCTCTTTCAATTTTCCATCTTAAGGTGGAGAAAAGAAGAATATTGGTGCATGCTTTTTTTCTAGACAATGGACTATGTCAGTCCTGCAGCAGCTGCTGTTGCTCCTCTTCTCTTATGAAGCTGCAGAAGCCAGCCTCAACTGAATTTGTCCCTATGGATGGCATTTGTGCATATTTTGGCATTTAGCTGACATTCTGCTCGTGTATTTGACGATAGACTTTAGCCATACCTTCATTGTAATAACTCCACTGTGCTTTCTTCCTGTATATTTTTTAAATGCCCAGTTATAATCCAGCTGGTGAGTTACAGATTGTTTTGTGCTACAGTTAATGTTGCTCAGCAAAGAGAATGCTACAGCCTGGCTGACCAAGAGTTTCTCTTCATTGAAAATCAAACCCCAAACCAAGATGTCTCTATTTGGGATGATATTTTTAGTTTTTATCACGTTATGTGTGGGTTTTAAGAATGTTTTAGAAGCTTAATATTACAAAAATGTAACTGTTAAAATATTAACTGTATGTTTTCTGTATAATTCTAGGTACGACGGGAACTGGATGAAAAAATCACTAAAGAACTTGAACAGGGTAATGTGTCATTATGTTAGGAGTGTTTTTAAGGAAGATGACTGTTCCTAACTCTTGAAAATAATGGCTTGAAAGTTTTCAAGTTCCTGTGCTAAGCACAGGTTTTCTTCTGCTAGCTTTTTCTGCTAGTTTAGACTTGAATGTGAAAACTTCCTGCTTACCAAATTACTGTATGGGAGGTTATGCAGTTGCCTGAAAAAAAAGTGGAAAGAAAACTAACCCATTTCCCCCCCACAGATACATATGGATTAAGCTGAAGTCACCTTTCACTACAGTTAATTCTCAAGCACAAACATCAAACATAAAAGAAGCCCTGAGATAAGATTTTTATAGACTTCAGCCATCACTTCTCCTTCCATGTACATCAACTGCATTCAGCACTAAACCATACCATACACATTCTCTGCTGTTAGTTCTTCATTTTTGCCATGTCTCTTATTTGTTGCTTGTATTTGTAGCTTATGCAGTCTTTTTCTGAATAAGCAAGAAGAATATAATCAGTGACAAAATATATCCTTTCTTTAGGAAAAGATCATTCAGTAGTGTTTAGGCAAACATAAGATGAGTTGATTGCTTGTAATACATAGCATAAAACATGCTCTATAATACGAGGCCAGGTGTCCAAAGAGGAATTCCACCTATTTCATGATAAGTGTTCCGCCAGAGTCACTGCTTTGCAGCGACTGGTACTATTTCAAAGCAGATAGCCCCTGAGAGCACTTCCTTTTGTTCCTGTATGCTTTTAATCATATAGAGAGTGTTCAGCTGTTGCTTCACAGCTCTTTCTGTGTGTCTGAATGGGCACAAAGCCATTGCATTGCATCCATGTGCATTTTGAATGTAACTGCACATCTGCTAGGAGTCACAAAGTGTGTTTGGTTTGGGGACCTTGTCTGAAAAAGGTGGCTGGAGAAAGATGGCAAAGGTGGGTTTGCTTTCATTCAGTGCGTTTTCATGGAGTAAAGAGGGTTTTGCCAGAGCAAGTTACAAAGACTCCCCTCAGAGAAAGTGCCAGGCTGGGAGGCTGGTCCTGGCCTGACTGCAGTGCAAAGGTGTTCGCGTTTTCACAGGCAGATTCTTTTAAAGCTTGTCACAGCGAATGCAGAAGCTGTTTTTTAGGAGTAGTGTTCCAATAAATCACTGGTTTGAACATTTAAGGAAAATAGACACTTGAGGTTGAAGAGTTCTGCAGGGGGCTAAATTTAGCACTGGTGTAAGCAGGAGTTGTTTGTGGATTCCCTGAAGATGATCAGCGTGTAGCCTCTGGAATTTCTTTCACTAGCTTTAGAAATACTGTTGACTGCTAAGCAACTGTGGAAAAAATGTTTCTTCCTTTGTGCCTAGCCCTTTCATTGTTACGTTCCCTTGGAAGCTTTTAAATCTCTTTCTGGATTGTAGTCTCTCCAGTTACCCATAATGTTTTTACAGTGACTTATTTGGCTCTGTCTACTGTAAAAGTAACACCAGGAATTTTGTCTCTTTTCTCTCTAGCCACTGCTGAACTTGAAACTGGATCTGCTGGAGCTTCTCCCATGGTATCCACTGATGGTTCTTCAAAAAATTTCCATGTTGACCAGGATCCCCTTTGCAGGGCAATACAGGAGTACCGTGATGTTTTAACCAAAAATTACCTGATTTGAACAAAATGCTAGGGAAAGGCTCTGGAAATCATTTTGTTTACATAGTGCATCTACGGTTTCCCATTCTATGGTTCAGATGTGAAAATGTGTTTATTGCAGTCTGAATATAAATTCTAAGTCTATTAAATGGATGTGAAGCACATTGCACTTACCTGTTGGTTTATTGATGCATAGTTATTTTATTTTGCACTCACAATAAGAACCATATCTATTTTTTCTGACTAGCAGATTGACTAATCTTGATTCTTGAGCTTGGCAGAACTGTCAAAATGTTTTTTATGAAGGTAGATGCTTTATTTTGCTCCACTCATGTTCTGTGTTTTAACAAAAGCATTCCCTTTGTTCTGTTTAATCCTTTCACTCTGATGTGTTTTTAATGTTTCCAGTGTTTATTTTAATGCTTAGGACATTATTTGATGTGCTTTGAGCCCGCTGCTTCAGTCCTGATGCAGTGAATGTTTCTGCTGATAAAGTGAAAGTTTTACCAGTGTTCAAGCTGGAGAATAGGGCACTTTACATTGCTGTCACTTTATGCACCTTAGGTTTAAAAATACTGTGAGTGTCTAGTAGTGCCAAGACAGTTGTTATGTGGTCTTTTTGGTATGTTTGTTTTGTATCACAGAACCACGGAATGGCTGAGGTTGGAAGGGACCTCTGGAGGTCATCTGGTCCGACCTCCCCGCTCAAGGAGCACCACCTAGAGCCGGTTGCCCAGGACCGTGTTGGCTTTTGAATATCTCCAAGGATGGAGATTCCACCGCCTCCACGGGCAACCTGTGCCAGTGCTCAGTCACCCTCACAGTAAAGAAGTGTTTCGCGATGTTCAGACGGCACCTTCTGTGTTTCAGTTTGTGCCCATTGCCTCTCATGGTATTCATGTTGATTTTTGTATTAAAAATTGCTGCAGCTTTAGACATTTGCAGTTCCTATGTCAACACGTGTGGTGCACCTGAAACACTTCATAGGGGGGAAAAAAGGAACGTTAATATATAAACCTTCAGTCTCCTCAGTACTTTCCAAAAATTGTGCGATAGGGTAGCCAATCTTTTTGTTGCTGCTAGCAGCGGATGATATGGTGTCTGTAGCCCAGATGTTGGCCAGTGTTGTGGGACATCTGTGTCAATAAAACAAGCAGTTTTACTTCTTTCCGGGAGTTGCTTGTTGTCACTGAAGATCTGCAGTTGTCATTTTGTGTCTGCAAAAGTCACTAGCGATCAGATTATAGAACAGATTATAGTCCCAATTCTGGAAAAGTAAGAATGGTTGTACTGAGATGAATTAAGACTGGAAAAATTTGGGGGTTTTACCCACTAATTCAAGGACTTGAGTTAACAGGCAGTGAGGAAAGCAATGAATGCTGCTGTGACACTCTGTTCCTTTTTATATTAATACATTTTTGTGAAGATAATACACTGTATTTAATTCTAGATATTCCGTTCCAACTTAATATTTAATAAACTTTGTAATCTAGTACATGTCTTTGTTTTATTGTTTCCCTTCTCGACTTTGCTTTCCACCCTCTTCCCTTCCCCATAGAACTCTCCAAAGCTCTCCTCTGCTCACTTCAGCTCTGTTCACAGGTGAATCTTCACCTTGTCCTGGAGGCCAGGCAAAAGGCCAGCATGCGGCTGTGTCCTTTTCCTCCGGGGACACTTGAAGCACCATCGCGTTAAGATCGTGGGCTAGAGTTGAGGTATTGCTAAGAATCAGTTCCCAGACTCTTCCTGTATTTTAGAACAATCCTTCTTGTGGTCTGGGCGAAGGTAGTGGCTGAGCTTCTGGTAGCCGTGAAATGCTGGCAAATCCCAGAGGTTTTCATCCCATGGGGAGCTGACCAATTTGTAGCCCGCAACAGGAAAAGGTGTTAAGAAATTTCTCCAGCCTGCACCAGAGCGGTAAGGAGAAGTTCAGCTTTTGGTACTTTCTAGCGTCTCTCCACAGAGAAAGCAGGTGCAGAATGTCTTGGCCTTTACTGTTTGTTGTCATTGTGATAAACTCAGACATGACCTGTTTTCAGGTTTGTTCCTAACCTGCTCTGTGCTGCCGGTTGTCAGTGAGAGGGGAAAGTTCTTGGCTGGTGGAGCAGCAGAGCAGAAACCTGGCGTAACAGGAGTTGATAGTGGTTACAATGGGGTGAGAGGGTAAAGAGAAGTCCAGTCAATTCCTTCACTTGAAAGCCCATCTCCAGTGTCACTGTGGGGCTACTCTTGATGATCTCAGAGAGGCCATGGCACTCAGGGGGAGGCTCCTGAGACCTGGAAGACAGGAAATATCCATCCCATCTTCAAGAAGGGCGAGGCAGAGGAGCTGGGGAACTACAGGCCAGTCAACCTCATCTCGCTGCATGGGAAGGTGATGGAGCACATCCTCCTGGAAGCCATTTCCAAAGATGTTAGGGACAAGAAGGTGACAGGGAGGAGTCAGCATGGGTTTGCAAAGGGGGAAATCATGCCATGCCAATCTGGTAGCCTTCTACGATGATGGGAGTAATTCAGTGGAGAGAGAGGGAGCAGTGCATGTTGCTTACCTTGACTTTAGTAAGGCTTTCTCTGGCTTGCACCATAACAGTTGAGTTCAGCTTTTGGAAATTCCAAAGAGAAAAGCAAGTGTGTTTCTTAATTTCTTTGCTAAGGTATGTTAGAAACCCTTTCAGGTCAGTAGCTGTAAGAGGATTGCGAGATTTTTAAAATCAGTTGTACAGAATATACAATTCTGTTTCAGAAAACCTCATTATGCCAGTTGCTTTTTTCTCAAGAGCAAACAGTGTAAGAAATTGTCCAGGTTTTGCTCTCTTCAAAATGTTGTGTTGAATTGTGGCCACAAAACATTAGTTTTTCATTGTTACTCATTGGCAGAGTAGTGGCTTGAAAGATTGATTAAAGGCTGTTTGAGTAGTGCTGCCATAGCACTGATGTGTCCACCCAGCGAATCTTGACTTCTGAGATACTCGGGCATCTGCTTATAATTCATTGCTGACTTCTGCAGCTCTAACTTCTTTACTGACGCTTTGCAGAGGGAATATAAATCTGGTCTCCTATAAGCACACTGACGAACTTTGTCCTGTTTTCACCTTCCCTTTACCTTAAGAGGCACCTCTTGCCACCCTTACCCTGGATATAAAGATAAACCACCTGTTACTAAACCCAAAGAAACTACAAGTTCTGTTTGCCTATAAAAGCCAATTGTAAATGCTTTTTGACTGCTGGCCCTCAGTGAGAAGTGAGGGTTATTGGCTGCTGGACAAAGCGAACGGAAAGCCAGTGTTAACATCTAGCAGAACAGTTGTTCATAACTGTTACCATGAGGGTAGTGGGTAAAGGAAGGTCTAGTCAATTAATTAACTTCAAAGTTCATGTGTTTGTTTTCTTGTTCACTAGTGAAAAAACTATTCTCAAAAGTGGGCACCTGGTTCTTGCTGCTTGTTGGAAACAGCCCCAGCTACCCTGAAAGTGGTGCTGCTACCATATTGCATGATGATACACAAGGTCACTATTTATCCTGAAACAGAGCTGTATCCTGTTCTATAAAACAGGGAATTTAATTGATCTTCTCTGGAAGTGTCTATCTTTCATCATTTCTCTCTAAGCCTCTGGTCCAGTTCCCTGGTATCTTAGGGCTTGATCACATACTACTGGCACACCCTCAACAATGGGTGTTGAGGGTTTTTTTTCATTTTGTTTGTACGATGCAAGCAATACATGCAAATTGCACGTGAACGAGGGAATTGCAGCTTGTTCCTGCCCCCCACTGCCATTGTTCTTTGCCCTCCAGAACAAAGGGGGTTTAGCTCTGCATCAGACAAAGAATGCCTTTCTTAAGCAAGGCTGAAATGTATAAGAGTTTGAACAAGCAAGCGCAGCACGTGAAGAGATGTTTCCCACTACCAGACCACATCTCTTCAACTATGCCTATTTAGGGAGCTCTTTGTCTAACATAAGCTTTGGTTTCTTCCATATCCATCACACCTTCAGCTCCAGAGCATAGTGTCAAGCAGTCCTCTTCCAGACAAGGTGCAACTTCATTTTCCATACTTTGGGAAATAACATCCAGCTACTTTATGGTATGCCAGTCTACCTGTGCATTGGCAGCGTCTTTTCCTTTCAGTGTTCTCCTTTGTAATGCAACACGCAGTCTCCAGTCTCCTCTCTAACCCTTTCAGCTCCAGCCATTGGCTGCTTTTCAGCATATTATAGAATTTTATTCATATTATACTTCCTGTGTTCCCATCCTTTCAAATTAAGCAATTTCTTTCACATGCCTGATGTCTTACATGGTATTAGTAAGAAGAAAGATGAACAGTCTTGATTCAGTCCTGAAAGGTCAAATTAGATTGTTGGAGAAATTGGAGTCTGAGGCCATTCCAGATACACAGGGCAAAAAACTGTTCCTTTCCGAGTCTGCCATCACCAGAGAAAGCCTCAGCATGAGGCCTTGTGAGGGTGACCAGGGTCAGACACAACTCCAGGATGGCTGGGCAGGGCTGTGGGGATGGGCCAGGCCGGGACATCAGCCCGCAGGTCTTCAGTGTTCATGAGGCACGTGCTTGATACAATGCCGAACCGACAGTGAGTCAATCAGCTTTTCTCCTCAGCGGCACCAACTCATCCAGTTGCCCCGGACTCCTGTCACAAACCTCATTTCTTACTGCCTTGAACTCTCTGATTTAGGTACGCTATCCTACAAGAGGATTGAGCACATATTCAGCCCTGTTAGGGGCTCTTCTTTTGTCTGGAAGATCATTTACTTGTTTACAGGTCATCCTAATGGGGCAATCCGGCTACTCAGTACTGATTGTGAGCAAGCTGCCAAATCCAGTAGCCTGATGGGGACGGTACAAAGATACGTATATGCATATAGATACATCTGTAGCCATAGATATCTAGATAAAGGTGTGTACAATGTGGATCCCTCCAGCGGCCGAGCAGACACTCAGTCTGCCCCGTAGCTGAGCTGTTGTCTCATCTTGATGGTTTCACACCTAGACCATGGGGCTGAGGCTCTCCTGGGAGAGGCCCAGACAGCAAGTCCCCTCCTCTGAGTCCCTAATTTGGGTTCCCGCCCATCCTTGGGCTTCTCTGCTCCCCTGGGCTGGTGTAGATGGGCCTTTGATGGGCTGATGGCTCCTGTGATGGGCCTGGGTGCAGCTGGAGCAGGGTTTTATCCCAGTGTCCCTTCCTCCCCACCATCACCATCCTCAAGCAGAGGAGCTTTTGTGATAAAAAAACCCATATAACCGAACACTTAACGCCTCAGTGCCTTCCAGCCTGCACAGGGGCCAGGTTTCTCACCGCTGTGTCGCTTGTACCCATTATCTACCCATAAAACCCAAAATAAGTGGCAAGACGTCCTTTGGCCAGTGTCAATTTACACTTTTTGAGGCTGTCCCAATCTTTCCTCATCCCAGCATCTGTTAACCTAATGTTGCTGTTTGCTCGCTGATCTCTTTTAACTTCTGAAACAGATTAACAATGCAGAATGCTTAAAGAAATAGCAGTGTGAAAGACTGCTTCTTAATCTGCTTATAATTATAATGTCTTTGCATGCCTATTCCTAGGACAGCTAGTTTGAGAAGACTATGAAAATCATCATTACAACAGACGTCTTTAAATGACAGCCTGAAGCACACCAGCACGATCTGCAGAGGC